GCTCCGCGGGAGAAAGATGAGGCTTTGTACTCCCGTAAAGATTTACACCCTCGGAAACCCTGTACAGGGTCGCTATGGGTCGGACCCGACTCGATGGCACTTAACAACAACAACAACAACATCATACAGCATTAGAACATTTATTAAGATACAGAGAAGCAGTAAGACTTGGTAGAAAAAAAGACGTTAGAATTTAACATGCTTAGATTCATTTGTGACTTTGCTACTGCCTAGCATAGCCGTTAAAATACAGTGCCCTAACCATAACATGACTGACTCAATGGCACTCAACAGCAACAATAACCATAACAATGGAGTCCTGGTGTGGCGCTGTGGGATGATGCACTGGACTGCAAAATTGGTTTGAACCTCAAGGTCAGTGGTGCAAGCTTACCAGCTGCTCCTCAGAAACCCTATATGGGGTTTCTGTGGGTTGGAACTGACTCCATGGCACTTAACAACAAGAGGCTGTATATCCAAAGCAAGTTAAATAACCTCTCAGTCCTTTTCCTTCACATATATGATGACTCAATAAATACTTGTACAAGAAAAAAAAAAATCCATTTTATTCTTTCACTTTTCCATGTTGTTGTTGTTAAGTGCCATCGAGTAGGTTCCGACCCATAGTGACCCTGTATGGGGTTTCCAAGGAGCGACTGGTGAGCTTGAACCACTGACCATGTGGTTCAAACGATTTTGCAGTCCAGCTCATTAGTCCACAGCACCACACCAGACTCCTTTTCCATAAGTAGGTCCTAACTTTCAGGACATTAAGTTCAAATATGCATAGTGTTCAAGCCCCTCATTAACTAGTTACCATTGCTTCTTTGGAGTCCTGGTGTGGCGTTGTGGGTTAATGAGCCAGACTGCAAAGCCGTTTTAACTGCAAGGTTGGTGGTTTAAGCTCACCAGCTGCTCCATGGAAAGCCTATATAGGGTCGCTATGGGTTGGAACCCACTCTAGGGCACTTAACAACAACAATTGCTTCTCTGCTTTCCGGCTCTTCCTACATGTTCCTTTCTACTTAATCTTACCTAATAACAGCCTCTATGTCTTCATATCTTTCCAGGCCTTAAACTGATTCTTTCCGAATCCAGGTCAAGAATACCGTCTTTAATAAAAGCCTTTCCTGCTAAGCCTGAACACTTTGAATATAGACTATAAAAAATATAATAATTCACACTGACCGCCTAAGACAGGCAGCGTCCCTTAAACAAACAATAAATAAGGGGGAAACGGATGTAGACCTTGCAGACCCGGCCAGGAGTTCAAGGCCCTGTGGGCCCAAGCGTTGCAGACCGTCCAAACCATAGGCTCTGAGGATCAGACTTTAGCCACCTAGCAGACATAGCAAACTGTCCCTCATCTGATTATTCAGTTATGCTTGTTAGTAATCTCATACATGAGCCCTGGATATCCACAGATAAATGTAAAAACCTCCCCTAAAAGCCGAGACTGTAAATTCCAAAAAGGCAAAGTTCCCCCCCCACCCCCCCAAAAAAAGCCAAAGAGGATAGAGAGAAACACTGTTGACTATTGATGTATGGAGGGGATTATAATCAATGTAATGAAACAAGTCATATGAATGGTTGACTGTGAAACTGATGATGTGCCCTGTAAACTTTCACTCAATCCACAATAAAAACCTTAAGAAAATAAAATAATAAAATAAATACTTAAATATTCACTTTACATTTCACACTAAACCAGGGAGCACTTTCTAGTCCCGTCTTCCAGTTGATGGATTTCTAAGTCATCCAAGGAAGATATATAAATTTAATAGATGTTCAGAAAAGATGTTCTCACATTTAATCTGTTTTATCTCATGTTTTAATTTAAACCAATTTCCTTTTGCTTTTAGTTTCTTGTCCAGGTACACAAATGAATTTGCTAAAATTAATTTTCTTCCATTTATATGTAAAGAGCATGTATTTATCCTCCTCCAAAAGTTTTCAGAAACTTAAAAATTTAAGCAAATTTTCTCTTTGCTTTAACCTTTCCTCATATATTCCTTTGAATACCTTCAAAATTCCTTTTCTAAAGCTGTTGTACTATGTTACTATTCCTTAAAAGATGAAAACAACCATAGGATGCAATATTCAACTAAAGGTTTATAATGCAAGTCTAGCTGAAAGAGTAATTCCACATCAAATATACAAAATCCACTGAATAGTACTAAGTAAGATTTTTTTTCCCCTCTCACTGTTAGTTGGCAACACAGACCATGGAAAAATAGCAATCTGCCTGTGGTTATGATTCCCACATCTTTTTCTGCTGTTATGTCTGGCATATATAATCATCAAGGAATTTAAGAAGCCTTTGAGATAGCCAAAAGGATATTATATTCTATACCTCAGAGACAAGGTCTGGGATGGAAATGAAAATGTGTGAATTTTCTATATAACTTCAGTTGTAAAGGCGAGATTATTGAGAGAAAGAACATAGTATGAAAAGCAAAGAGGGCCTAGAACTGAGCCTTGAGTAACCTCAGCAGTAGTTACTGAGTAGAGCTAGCTGAGCCTGCAAAGAATACTTGCAAATAAGCAGGTAGATAGAAAGGAAAATCAGAAGCCAGCTTATGTCAAAGAAGCCAAGTATTTGATGGAGTCAAAAAATAACTGTTTTTCTAAATTTGAGTAGCTATACATTTAATGTTAGAAACAGTCAAGTGTTTATCACATCACTGTGATATACATATATGATACTTCAAAAAACTATAGTATACTTTTAGATATCATATAGACCTACCATCTGGAAATGATAAAACAATGACTTCAGCAATTTGCCAAAGGTCACAGAAGTTGTTAGTGACAGAAATGGAATTAGAATCCATGGACCATAACTGCTATTTGGTTTAACCATATGAAATTAATTACTATTTTTGTGGGTGAAAAATGGCTGAACATTAGCATTTATAAGAAGTTCAATCTAATAGTTTCAGAGTACTTTTATAAAGTTTTTCTGTTGATTATTAGGAGTCTTGATGTGGCACTGTGAGATAAACCCTAAACTGCTAACTGTAAGGTCGGTGGTTCAATCCCACCAATCACACTCCTCAGAAACCCTATACAGAGTCACTATGAGTTGAAACCAACTCTATATGGCTCTCAACAACAGCATTGAAAATTAAGCTAGTCCAGGATTCTTTTTCTTCTTTTCCCTCTCTTTATCCTGAAATCTCCCCCAAAGTTCATACTTCACATGTCAGTAACACTTAGACACGTAATCAAAATAGGTCACTTTCTATCTTAGGCAAAATAGACAAAAAGTTACTAATTGTGAGTATATTACACATTGTTGTTGTGAAGTGCCGTCGAGTAGGTTCTGACCCATAGCGACCCTGTATAGGGTTTCCACAGAGCAGCTGGTGAGCATGAACCACTGACCTTGCTTTGCAATCTGGCGCATTAACCCACAGCACCACACCAGGACTACTACATTAGGCAATTTAAATATCTTCTGAGGGACCCTTTTCATAAAATTTCTAATGTGTAAACTACTAAATTGATAGATAATGGTAGTCTGTCTGTTCACATCTAGCTAAGTTGATTTTCTTGGGAACTAAAGATCCGAGTGAGGTGTGGCGTTGTGGGTTAATGGGCCAGATTGCAAAGCCATTTGAACTGCCAGGTCAGTGGTTCAAGCTCACCAGCTGCTCCTTGGAAACCCTATACAGGGTCGCTATGGGTCGGAATCTACTCGACGGCAATTAACAACAACAAAGATCTGATAGAAGAAGGGAAGAGTGACTTGAAATGATAGATTAAAATTGTGTTTTAGGTTCCTAAAATTTATAAAAAACAATTGTGTAGTCAGTAATTTAGGAATATCTGGGATTCGCTTAAAAATATTATTTCATTGTAAATACATACAATGTCACATAGTATTTATTCTGAAAATGTGCTAAAGATGGGATTTTCATCTGTTCAGTTCTTGAGTTTGCATTTTGGTTTACAAACAGTTTTATTTTGAAAATAGAACAGTGATAGAAAGATAGTAATCTTTCTTATTACTGTTTATGTTTTTAAAACAGATATTACATATATTTTGTTGGTAATATTTACTTTGACTTAATATATGTTTTTGTTTCAATATTTTAATTATTTATTATATGTATTCATTTATTTCCACAATTATCAATACTACATTTATACAGATAGAAATTAAAATTAGATATTGATATCTAATTTTTGTTATTCTTAGGAGAACTTAGAGTTCCTTACATTATATCTTTATGTATATGGTTGATTATTTATTTAGAGCAGGTTGCTAAGATTGAATTGCTGAATCAAAGAAGGCTTATATTTTTAAGACAAATTGCCTTCTAGATAGGTTGTATCAATTTATATTCCCACTAACAATATATGAATTTGCCTATTTCCTGAATTTTGGGCAATATTGGAAATTGCCTTTGGAAAAAAAAATAGTTTAATGAATGCAAATAAAAGTATCGTGATTATTTGAATTTTTTTTTGATTATCAATGAATTGGTTAGCTAGATTTTCCCCCTCTGTTAGAATACTGTTTTTAATATCCTACTGAAAAAATATATAAACCATGTTTTTTTTCCTGTGTCTTGGCAACTTGCTTATAAGGTAAATTATTTTTCATGATTGAATTTTAAACTTGCGTCTCAGGTATTTCAAATTCAAGATGTGGGGAGAGTTCTCCAAATTTAAATGTGTTCACAAAATCAGCCAGTAGGGGTCTCTCTAAACCAATTTTTTTTACAAGGAACTAATTTTAAGAAATTCATAAAATGTCTGTAATACAGGGGCAATCCCGGCGCATTCAAGTTGAAGTGAAGTCTGTACAGGAGTCTGGCACTTTACCACTAATGGAAGAATGTATATTGTCGGTTGGCATTGGATGTATAAAAGTTAGACCTCTCAGATCCCCCAAAACTCATGAGACTTTTCATGTAAGTGTCTCTGCCTGTTATGTTCTTGTTGCAAGGTAAAACCAGAAGAGTTTTGGAACCTGTCAGAAAACTGCGTTTCATGAACAATTAGTATCTCTTTCTGTCTCTCTCTTTTTTTTTTCCTTTGTCTCAAAGTCACTGCATGGTTGGTGTTTGCTTTATTATATGGCAAACTGAGAGTTAAAACATTTCAGCCTCCAGAAAAAGTGCCTAATAGTGATTAACCTCCTTAACTTCACTCCACACACATACACACACACACACATACATGCACACACACCACACCACCCCCAGTATAAACCCCCTACTGGTTTATAAAGACTATTTGCCAGCAGGTGTTTGATTTCCCTGGCGAGTGTGAATGTGAACCCAGCAGGGAAAGTATTGTTCTGGTTGCTGAAAAGGTCAAATGAGTATAGTTCACTTTCCTAGGAGAAACTCAGGTTTTACTCCAGATCCCTGAAAACTGAAACTAAGAGTGAGAGTTGGCAGAAGATGAAAGAGCGTATTAATTCTAACTTTAAAATTAATTCTAATTTTTTTGGGACAAATTATTTAGTTTGTTCTACATAATAATATGGAGTCCTGGTGTGATTGCTGTAGGATGAACACTGGACTGCTAACTTACAGAGTCAGCTGTTCAGCCCACCAGTAGCTTGATGGCTGGAGTCCTGGTGTGGCATTGTGAGTTAATGCGCCAGACTGCAAAGATGTTTGAACTGCAAGTTAGCAGTTCAAGCTCACCAGTCACTCCTCAGAAACCCTATACCGGGTTGCTGTGGATCAGAACGGACATGAGTGACGACACTTAGCAACAATAACAATGTGATGTCTGGAGTCTTGGTGTGGTACTGTGGTACTGTGAGTTAATGCATTGGACTGCAAGGTCAGTGGTTTGAGCTCACCCACCACTCTTCAGAAACCCTATACAGGGTCACTGTTACTCAGAAACTACTGGATGGCACTTAGCAACAACAATGTGATGACTGGAATTGTGGTTGCCTTGTCAGGGCCAGACCAAATGATTTTGAGGGCCTTAATAATGTATCTTTTCTTTTAGGAAGAAGAGGAAGACATGGACAGCTACCAGGTAATTTAGTACTTACTAGTCTTATCAACGGAGTCCTGGTGTGGTGCTGTGGGTTAATGCGCCAGACTGCAAAGCTGTTTGAACTGCAAGGTCAGCGGTTCAAGCTCACCAGCTGCTCCTCGGAAACTCTATACAAGGTCGCTATTGGTCGGAATTGACTCGATGGCACTTAACAACAACAACAAGTCTTATCAACTGGAGTCCTGGTGTGGTGCTGTACAATAAGCACTAGACCAAAAGATTGATTTGAACCACAAGGCTGGCAGTTCAAACCCACCAGCCACTCCTCTGAAAACCTTTACAGGGTTACTATGAGTCAGAACCAATTACGGCAGTTAACAACAGCATCATCAACTAAGCTTGATTCAAGTCTTAAATATTCCTGAATCTGGCTGTACTGTTTCTTAATAATGACACAGTTAAATTTGATTTAAACATTGGGAGCTTGGGGTTTGTTTTCTTATATCAAAACAGGGTAAAGAACAATGAATATGGTCTCATAGACAATATAGTACAATCTTTAGAGCAGAGGAAGTTGAGTATGTCGGTCCCAAAGAAATTAGCTGTGATTGTTATCTTTTCTGAACTTGTAGCTCTCGCATTTAGATTTCCCAAAGATCCATAGCCTCTGCCATTTACCTTTTCTCTCCTTGAGTGGAATCACCACTCCTTGTCCCTGTTTCATTTGGCCTATGTGTGCTTAAGGCAAGCCAAGCGCCCCTGGTATTTTCCATACTTTAAAGCACATGTCCTTTTTCCACCTCTCGAACAACATACATGTTTTTTGTTTGGTTTTGTTCTTCCTTTCCCTTTTTCTAATCTCCTGCAAGATTTTGTTTCTGCGTATTAAATTTTATCTTGTTAGTGTTGGCTCATCCTTTAGGCCTGTCAGAGCTCTTTGAATCCTGATTATGTCATCCAGTGCAGTCACTCTTCTGGTTTTGAATCATCCTAATTTGATAAAATGTCTGCCTTCCTATAAGTAACTGATAAAAGTATCGTATCCGATAGGATAAAACATAGAGTCTTATGGTACAACAGTAGAGACTTTTTTGAAGTTGATATTATCCCATTAATTACTGTTCTTTGAATGTGATTTTTTAGTTATCTATGATTTCATGTAAGTACATCCATTATACTTTTCTCCATCTTGTCTATAAGAATGTCATAAGCTATTTGATCAAATGCCTTAGTGAAATCCAGATATACTATATCTGCAGCATTCCAGTGACCTACCCAGTCTTGTAACTCAATTAAAAAAGGAAATGAGGTAAGATTGGCATGCATTCAGGTGTTGACTGGTAGAATTGTTGGACTGTCAATAACACACACACAGTTAAAAAAAAAAAAAGAGAGAGAGAGAAAAGCATTTACATGACATTTGAAGAGGATAGTGGAACATTTTAAAGATAGTAGGTAAGAAATGTAAAGAATGATTATAATGGTTCTGAGGAATGTAAGTTAGAAGATTATTGTATACTAGCTGTAATTTTTCTCCCAACAAAGATACCACATAGATCTTAGTTGCAAGTGATTGGAACCATTAGAAATAAAACTGGTTCAGAGAATGCCCTTTCTCTTCTGAGAGTATCTATTCTGAGTTATGATTGGAGTCAACTGGTGGTATGGTAATGAAAAATTCCAGTTTAATACTTTACATTTTTGAAGCATGTTAGAATAGGATACAACATCAGTTTTACTTATATTATTTTGGCATTCTATTTAGTATGATTTACCTTTTCACTTCCAGGACAGGGATTTAGAAAGACTACGCAGAAAATGGCTGAATGCATTAACAAAACGTCAGGAATACTTAGATCAACAACTACAAAAGCTTGTCAGCAAACTTGGTAAGAAAAGCTAGTTGCGTATTTTCCTCCCTTTCAAATTAGTAGATAACTAATCCCCATTTGCAGCTACATAAATTAAGAACCAAGTGAACATGTGGATAATGGGATTGGCAAGAGCACATAAATGCTACTCACTGTTTTGTTTGTAACATATCCTTTTATATGAATATTTATTTATCCATTTGTTTTAGAATTTTCATGTACCCACCTGCCCTCTCCCCCACCAAGAACAAGAAAAGACAACATTGTTTCTCAATAGTAATTTAAGAAATGTGCTAATGTTTCTTAGTCAAAACACTTGAGTCTTCTGACTTTGGAGCAAATCTTTCATTCACTCTTCTACTTGGTGAATTGAAGACGACCTTCAGAGAGTACACCTAGCCTTTCTAGCTTACAGTTAGCTGGAAATTCTCCTCTAGAGGTCACTTATTTATTATTGATAATAGAGGAGTATTGTTTCCAGTGAACCATTAGCAACCAAAAATGGAAGATTTTACTAAGAATGGAAGTATAAAAAGCGAGTGAGAGCTCTGTGCTTGATTCCCATTCCTTATGTTCTAGATAAAACAGAGGATGATGCTGACCGTGAAGCTCAACTGCTAGAGATGAGGCTGACTCTAACTGAGGAAAGGAATGCAGTAATGGTCCCCTCTGCTGGCAGTGGGATTCCAGGGGCTCCAGCAGAATGGTATGAATACTGACATGTGTCTTTTGAAATTCTGAATAAATTGCCTGCCTTCAATATGAATTTTGCCTGTGCTTAACTTATGGGAGATTCATAATAGCATATGGGGGGAAAGTTATTTGAATTAGAGGAACTGTTAAATTATTTTCATGAGCTGAATAACTGGCCTAAAACTGCGTTTATTAAATAATATTGTTATTGGCCAAAGTTACTAAGATTTCTGAGAATCTAAATCAATATTTAGTACCACTGCACTTACATTAAAAAAAAAAAGTTAATATGTTAATTACTTGGGGTCAAACTGTTCTATCACAATAAAATTACATCTCCAGGAGTTCTTGCGTTTTGTGCTGATTTAAACTGTACTGTCAGCAAATGTTCTTTGCCACTTTGTAGACTTTAAAAATAGTAAGTTAAGCTACATGGGGCCCTCAGGTATATAATTTTATTAGAAAATAAGTTTAAGCAAGGGATTTCAGTTACAAACAGGTTGCTGTATAAGACTAACTGTAATAATTATACATAAAAGCACTGGTGAAAAGAAGCAGTTACAATTAAATTCTTTGTTTTAGTCAAAACAATAGCTGTTATTGACTTGACATCCAATAGCTCTGAATGTGTATTGGAATGATGTTCTGACATACATGCTGGTAATGCCATTTGTTGTTTATTTTTAAGGATTCCAGTCCCTGGAATGGAAACACACATTCCTGTTATATTCCTTGACTTAAATGGTAAGCTATGTGGGTTTTTTTCTGAAGGCTCACCTCTTCAGACAAAATAATGTCCAAATAACATTTAGATTTCATATCAAAGTAAATAGTTGTGCAGTTCTGTAATCTAAAATTAAAGTCAATTTTATGTGTGCCTTAGTGCTCTGATGCTTAACTAAGAATGAACTTTTTTCTATAAGAGTAATATTTTTATATAACAGTAATAGGTATGTTTCGTCATGCTGCCTAGTCACATCTCATTGCTACAGTGACAATATATACTTGATTCTCCCATCAATTTAGGACAACAGTAATGTTTTCCTTCAACTTTAAGTATATTCTTCTTTAGTACTTAGGGAAAGACCGCTCTGAAAAGGATTAATCACTAGCAACTCTTATATAGCATGTTTTTGGTTTTTTCCCTTGGTGTTTTGTTAGCATTATCTAATAAATGTCTCACTTTTTCTGTGAATTCTTCTGGCATTCATCCCTGCACTTGTTTTTACTGCTAATAATCCTATTATCCTCTTCTAGAAATCAACTCTAAGGCTAGAGCAGGTATGTCCAATTAGGCAAAAAAGGACTCATTCTGCCTCATTACTATAATATATATCTTCAGCTGCATTACTATCCAATATCAAGGAATTTTAAAAGTAATCTTTAGCTGTCAATAGTTAAATATTGTCTTCCTTTACTTCAAGGCATAAGTTCCTTGTAGTATAGAAAGTAAAAATGAAAAGACAAAAAAAAGAGGTAAGACTATATAATAACTCATCAGTTAAACTCCTAAAACATTTAAAGATGAACTATGTATTAAAATTATCCTACATAGACAACCCTGAACGTCCTTCGTGTTTATCTTCCATTGAGCTAAAAGTGAGTTATAATAAGTGTTTAGCATCTTGTGCCATTTAACTTGTTTGTACATAGGGGAGACATATATACACACAATTAAAGAGTAATCCTTAGCCACTTCTACACTCTATCTACTTAATAAGGTAGGTACTTTTTATCACAGATTATATCCTGCTTTGTTGTTCTCTTGAGTGTGGGAGATTGAGATTTACTTGTGCTAGACTGCAAGTTCAGTTTGAGCCACAGGTCAGCTATTCAAACCCACAAGCCACTCTTAGAAACCCTATATGGTGGGTTCACTATGAGTCGGAACCGACTCGACAGCAGTTAACAGCAACAACAACAACAAATTCTTATGATAGGATTCCAAGGTGGGGTAGAAGGGCAGGTGAACAAGAAAGTGGATAAGTGTAAACTAAAATTAAAGTCCTGATTCAAAGAGATGATCAAGTCTTTGTTAGCATTATGAACATTCTTGGTGTACCAGAAAAGGTACTAGTATACCAACTCACAAGCTTCAGATGGTTAGATAATTGGGAGATTAGTTTGGAATTGAATAATGGGAATGCCATGGGGGCAGCCTTCTAGTTTCAGCTCATGTTGTCATTTAATTAATTAGTCTTTTCTTGAACTTAACTGTTAGATAACAAAAATCACTCTCCCTTGTTTCTCATTTCTTTCTATACCTTTTAAATGTAACAAGCAACCAAGAGCATTGCGTTAAAAGGCAGGGAAATTTGGGTTCTAATTCTGTCATTAACGTTTATGAGCTGTGACCTTGAGAAATCTCTTGGGTATCTTGCATGTAAAATAAGTCATAGAGGCAAGAGATTGGATAAGATCATTTCATCAGGCAATTTTTATCTTTAAGATATCTCAACTATTTAATGGTCATCATCAGGGTTACATGAGACTTCAGAGCAAAAAAGCAAATTAATTTTAAAACAAAAATTTTAGTAATCACATTGAAATTTAGCTGGTAGAGGTTATCATTTTAAATGATCTCAGTGTTTAATGGAGCTTTTTTGCTTTTAGCTGATGATTTCAGCTCTCAGGATAATCTTGATGACCCAGAAGCTGGTGGATGGGATGCAACCCTTAGTGGGGAAGAAGAAGAAGAGTTCTTTGAACTTCAAATTGTAAAACAACATGATGGAGAGGTAAAGAAAGCATAACTCCAGATGATCAGATATAAAAACAGTTCATTAACCTTCCCAGGAGCATGATAATAGTTTCATTGTTTACATTTCTCAAAATATTATAAATTAAAATCTTAAACTATGACTTGAAGAAAAAAATGTGACTTTCAAGCTGTTACTGTGAATTGGTAAAGGTTTACAGAGATATCAATTTTCAGTTCACCAGTTCATACACATTTTGTTTTGTGTCATTGATTGCAATCCCCACAATATAACACCATTCATCCCACTTCCTCTCCATGTTTCCTGTTTTCATTCCTATTTCTTTCCTAATCTTTCTTGCCTTCTGAACCTTGCACTTCAGCACATGCTGCCCTTTTGATCTCAAGTGGTTAGTAATTCTAAGGAGTTATCATTCACCTTATAGACCTCTGTATTGTTGGCTGAGAGCCATGACAGTGAATTTACTTGCACGTCTTAAGAATGTCTAAGAGCCATAGTCTCGGACGCTCCTACAGTCTTTATCAGACCAGTAAGCTTGGTCTTTTTTATAATTTTGAGTTTTACTTAATATTTGTCTCCCACTCTATCCAGGACCCTCATCTTGATCCTGTTCACTGTGGTCAGCAATGGTAGCCGAGCACCGTTTAGTTCTGATTTCAGAGTCATGGACATTTGCTTCACATGATCCATTATTCCTTTGGACTAATTGTTTTCATGAGGCTCTGATTTTCTTTACTCTTTTTGGCTTCAGACAGAGAGAAACCAATAGTTGCACCTTAGATAGACACTCACAAGCTCTTAAGACCTCAGTCTGCCCTCACCAAAGTAGGATGTAACTTTGTGTGGACTCTGTTGTGCCAGTTGAACTTGATGTGCCCTGAGACTATGACCTTGAGTCCACAGTTCCCAGCTACTCATTCCCTCAAGGCATTTGGTTCATGGCTAAGAAGTTTTCATAATTTTATCCCTGTATAGCTCCTGTACCAGAAAGCTATGGTTGTATGTCTAACCATTTCAATAGACAGCATATGATGAAGAATCAGTGATATTGAAGGACAAAGTCCAAGCTGCACTTACGGCATTGGTGAAAAACAAGGCTTCAGGAATGAATGGAATACCAATTGAAATGTTTCAACAAACTGATGTGTCTCTGGAGGCACTCATTCATCTATGCCAAAAAATTTGAAAGACAGCTACCTGGCTAACCATTTGGAAGAGCCATATTTATGTCCATTCTAAAGAAGGGTGACCCAATGGAATACAAAAATAATCAAATGGTGTCGGGTAAGATTATGATGAAGGTAATTTAAAAATGGTTGCAGCAGTAGGTCAACAAGGAGTTGCCATAAATGCAACCGGAATTCAGAAGAGGATGTGGAATGTCCTGACATATTGTTGCTGACATATTGGCTAAAAGCAGATAATACCAGAGAGACTTGTGCCTCATTGACTATGCAAAGGCATTCAACTGTGTGGATCATAATGACTATAGATAGCCTTGTGAAGAATGAGTATTCAAGAACACCTAATTGTGCTCTTGAGGAACCTGTCTGCACATAGGCGAAGAGGCAGTTGTTAAAAGAGAACAAGGAGATAACTACTGAATGGCTGAAAATCAGGAAAGCTGTACACCAGGGTTGTATCCTTTCAACATACTTATTCAATCTGTATGTTGAGCAAATAATCTGAGAAACTGAATTATATGAAGAATAACATGGCATCAGGGTTGGAGGAAGACTCATCAGTAACCTGGGATATGCAGATAACTCAGCTTTTCTTTCTGAAAACAAAGAGGACTTGAAATACTGATGAAGATCAAGGACTACAGCCTTTAATATGGATTGCACGTCAGTGTAAGGAAAACAAAAATCCTCACAATTGAATCAATAAGTAGCATTGTGATAAACACGGAAAAGATTGAAGTTGTCAAAGACTTTGTTTTACTTGATTCATGGAAGCAACAATCAAGAAATCAAAAGACAGATAGCATCAGGCAAATGTGTTGCAAAAGACTTCTTTTAAAGAGCTACAGAGCAAAGATGTCATATTGAAAACTAAAATGTGTCTGACCCAAGCCAGAGTATTTTCAGTCACTTCGTATGCATGTGAAAATTGGGAAATGAATAAGGAAAACTGTAGAAAATTGATGCATTTGAATTATGGTGTTCATGAAGAATATTGAAAGCACCATAGAATGACAGAAAAACAAACAAAACTGTCTTGGAAGAAGGACAACCAGTGTGCTCCTTAGACACAAGGATGTTGGGACTTTTATTTTCCTTTCTTGTTTTATTACTCTTGATATGGCTTCCGATACAATATTGAATAAGAGTAATGATAAAAGGCATCCTTGTCTCATTCCCATTCACAAAGGAAATGCTTTCAGTCTCTGTGGAGACAAATGTTAGTCAGTGGTTTTGTACATATATTCTAGTTATGTTGAGAAATTTTCCTTCTATTCCTATTTTGTTTAGCATTTTTATTAGAAATGGATGTTGGATTGTGTTAAATGACCTTTCTGCGTCCATTGATTGCATCATGTGCTTTTCCTTTTTTTTTTTTTATAACATTTTTTATTTTGACAATTGGATAATTCACATTAAGTTTTCAGTTATTAATATTTAAGGGAATTGAAGAGAATTTAGGGAATTCAAGCTTAGCACATAAGTTCAATATACACAAAAGAAATGCTAAGCTTTGTAATTAAAAAAAAAAAAAATTCCCTAAACAAAATATATTCACCTATTAAAAAAAAAAAATCTTGAGTTGCCAAATTCTCTCATTCTTTTTTCTGCTAGCATGAACAAGAATATCTTGATTTACCAGGAGTTCAAACCTGTTCTTTTCAGTTTGACTCTCTGTCAGTAACTTGCATTTCCGTCCCAGATATACTGAATCAGAGTCTACAGTTTAACAAGATCCTCAGGTGATTATTTTTATAGATCCCCATGTAATTATTTTTTTATTGTAAATTGAGTGAAGGTTTACAGAACAGATCATCAGTTTTACATTCAGTAAATCTTATGCCTTGCTTAATTACATATCCCCTCCATGTACTAACAGTTAACAGCATTTATCTCTATTCACTTTTAACTAGTGCAGTCCTCCCTGTGTCTTCCGATTCCTTCATCTTTCCTCTGCTAACCTCTCTCCTGTTGTAAACTGCCTGCCCTGTCACCCATGTTAACATGTGTCTATTCTCTAGCCCATGGATACTTTTCCCTCCCACTCTTTCCCCCAATAACCATTATAGATTGTTTCTTTTAACAAGAAAACATTTTCTTAACCTGTTATAACGTTGGTCTCATACACTGTTTGTCCTTTTGTGATTAACTAATTTCACTCAGCGTAATATCCTCCAGGTTCAGCCATGTTGTGAGGTGTTTCACACATGGATTGAACTATCATTATTGTTCAATGTTTTTAGTATTACACTGTGTGTGTGTGTACCAAACCATTCTTCTGTTGCTGAGCATTTAGGCTGTCTCTTTTTAATCCTGTTTTCTTATCCATTCTGTTCTTTTTATCACTTGACTGAAATATTTAATCCATTTGCATCCAATATAATTATCAATAGGTATGAATTGATTGCTGTTATTTTTCTGTGTGTTTTTTTTGTGGTGCTGTTGGATTCTGTGCCACATAATTTTCTATGCTGGAGTTCATTTTGTTTGTCGGTTTTCTTTGCATTTTGATTTCTGTTGTGTTAATATTTACTGAATCTTTTTGAAGTTCCTCTTTTTCAATTCTGATGTACAAATGTATCATTTTTCTTTGAGGTTACCCCGTAATTTATCAATTTTTTTCCTTCTTAAAAACAGTCTGTTTTATCTTGAAATCTACTTGACTTCCTTGCCATTAGAAAGTTCTGTATCTACACTATTCCCTCTTTTTACTTTGTAGTTGACTTCATTATACATTGATATCTTCAATTCTAGATTTTTGGTCTTATAGGTTTGTTTTATTTCCATATCTGGATTGAGTCCTGGATGGTGTTGTCAGGTATGGTAATCTCAGGTTGTTGTCTGCTATTGTTGGTTCTCAGTCCAAAGAACACAGTTTACCATTTTTTGTAAAGTTGGTCTGGCCATTACAAATTCCTTTAGTTTCTGTTTATTAGGAAATGTCCTAATTTTGCTGTCATATTTGAGGGACAGCCTTGCTGGTTATATGATTCTTGGTTGGCATTCACTTTCTTTAAGAATTTTGTGTATGTCATTCCATTGCCTTCTTGCTTGTGTGGATTCTACTGAGAATTCAGAGTTTAATTTTATTGGTTCTCTTTTATAGGTAACGTTTCATTTTTACTGAACTGCTTGCTCTCAGGATTCTTTCCTTGCCTTTGTTTTGAAAAGTTTAATTATGATATGTCTTGGGGATTTGGGGGATCTGCCCTGTTTGGGGTTTGTTCAGCTTCTTATATGCTGTTTCTCATTTTTCATGTTAGGGAAGTTTTCTTCCAACAACTCTTTCTCTATGCTTGTCTCTCTGTTCAGTGATTCTGTAGGTTGTTCCTCTTCTTGGTATCCCACATAACTTTTAGACTTTCTTTGAATATATTTTTTTCCCCCTTTTTTCTGCTTATTCTTGTAGTATACTTGTATTGAGAGATTTATCTTCAAGTTTACTAATTCGGGCTTCCATTATTTCACATCTGTTCCTTTGCCCTGTCAATGTATTGTCCATGCCTTAGATCTTAGTATTAATCTTCTGGATTTTTAATTGCAGGTTTTTATTGTTACAAAGTTGCATTTATTTTGTCCTTTTTTTTTTTTTTTCGAATAGGGTTTTCCAGAATTCTTATAAATTTTTTTTTCTGCGTTCTCCTTGCTTGCCTCGATATTCTGTCAGTCCTTTGAGGTACCTAATTATCATTCTTTTGAATTCTTTTTCAATTAGTTCTATTACCTTTTATTCCTCAGAAATGCTTTCTGGGTCCGCATCTTGGCCATTTGTGTGAGCCATTCTCTTGTTTCTTTGAGTAGGCTAAAATTTTCTGTTGTCCACACAGCATTGTG